TATATATATATATATATATATATATATATATATATATAACATTCTAATAAATATTTATAAGAAAATATGTAGAATATATATTATTATATACTAAATTAATATCTATTTACATAAACTACATTAAGAATCTCACATCGTCCTATAACAGAGACTTCTTTAATATTATTACGTTTTCAATATTTGAACATATAAAAGAAAATATTCTCTGGAGTCTTATACATAACAAGATAATTATCCTCTTTGTAGTCAGCTATAGCTTTATCCTACTGCATAAATTTATACATATACATAAACATGTATTTGTGTAGATAACATATCTATCGACCTCTCCAGCTCGAGGATAACAGATACTGCTGCTGTTGCCCGAAGCATTTACAGGCACATTAAATATGCTGCGCTAATTCCTCCATCAATTTGCAGCTCATTTCATATGCCAGCGTATTTGGCCGGGTTTCGTACGTGCGAAAACCCAAACGCTGGCCAGATTGCCGCCGGCTTATGTGTCGGACGGGCCAAGCGCCTAGATGGCCGAAACTAGTTTGCATTCAGCCTGTAATTAGAAAATTTCCATGCTGCACGTGCTGCGTGGCGCGCTGGTGAAATGAAAACAAAAACAGAAACGTGCTAATTGCAAATTAATTATGCACGATATTGAATTTGCACTAAACGCAAAGCGAAATGTGCCGAACCCAGCCAGACCAAATGGTCAGAAATGGCGAGCGCAGCTCGTACAAGACAAGAAAAAAGGCGCTAAGTGGCTCCGACGACGTGATTTGCATGAAATGCAATTAGATTTTAGGCAAATGAGTGCCGCCAGCTTCGTGCTAGTCGGCGTCGGTGTTGTTTTGTGGGTGGTGCGCTAATGGCTGACACACTTAAGCAGCAGCAGCAGCATCTGTAGTAGAAGAGGCAACAGCAACAACAACAACAAGCGCTTGCGCTGTCGCTGAAACAGAAGCAGAAGCAGAAGCAGCAGCGACGCAGACAGCAGCAGAGGAAGCCGCATATAAACAGCTAAAGTGTTAATTGCCATAAATGCTTGTCATTGTAGCGGTAAACGACAGTAGATATTTGCCACGCTGCTACTGCGCCAGCGCCCACACACACAAACACACACATATATACTCACGCACATTGCGACAAGAGCTTTCCATGAAGCTGAGCCGCGCACGTCTGAGCATTGCACTCAAATGAAGGAAATGAACTGCTAAATTATGCACGCGATTTAACCCTCATTTCGTTGGCCACACTCTGGCACCCGCACGACCACAGCCCACACCCCGTTATGCCCCGCTATGCCGCTCTCGGCGCAGGCGCGCTCACGCGCTGGCTCTCATCTCGCCAAACTCACTCAAAGGCCGTCTGCTGGCCACGCCCCCAGCGACCGGTAGCGGCAACAGCCAATGAGCGTCGCTCGAATTTGAGCGACTCGTCGTGCGCTCAGTTTGCCAAGTGACTTTTTCCAATATGGCCGCCAGCTGCGCTCACTCGCTCGAGCGCTGAGTGGAAGAGCGTGTGGGAGAGAGAGAGAGAGAGAGGGACAGTGCATGATGAGTGTGAGCGGCGCTCTCGCTGTGGCCTCGCATGGAACTATTTCAGACTTTTGCACCTTTTATTTGGCCATTTGTGTGTAATTTCGGAAAATGTTGGCGACATTATTCCCGCCCGCCCGCCTCGCCAGCATCTGGCAGTGGGTCTGGGTCTGGGCTTGGGCTTGGGGTCGCACGCTTAAGTGTCCTCGAGGGTACTTACTTCGTTAGCAGAAGTTTCTCGCCTCGTTCCATTGTTGTTGCGGTGGCTGCTGTTGCTGCTCTTGTCGTTTTGCGGATATGTCTCTTATTTTCATAACTGTAAATTGCTTTAGATATTAAGTCTGCTGTGCTGACTGCATGGCTTGGAGGCGGGCCATGGGTCGCTGAGTTACATCGTTGACAGCTGTGTACTGGGAGAGTGCGTTTTTCTAATAAACCTCTTGATGCCAGAACATTACGACAAGTTCTATGAGCATTTGTAGTTGTACGCACACACCTAAATATATATGTATGTATGTATGTATATGTATGTAATAGTATGTCAGCATAGCTGCGTGGGCTTTTTGTGGCAGCTGCTTAACAAAGTTTGTTTGCTCCTGATATCCTACCATATACCTCAGGCTCTATTACGAAATAGATTTACATTTTGGCTAGGCGAACTTATTAGCCAAACAACAGCATTGATACCGTCCAAGAATCTCTGCAAATATAGTACATTAACTTAATCCCCATCATAATATACGACTGCAGGGCGTTTCCTATATAACTCGAGTCGAAACGAATGCGTAAATACCCAAAACAAACGCGAAAATAAAGATTTTTAATATGCGCAAAATTGAGACATAAATTAAAGACACATAATGCTCATTAAAAGGCCGTAAACGATGAACACACAGCCT